TGTAAATTCATCCACGTCATTGTTACAAAAATGACAGAGCGTTTGAATAAGGTTACATAAAAAGACAAAAACTGGAAACTTCATAAGGAGGCAACTTTGCTCAGCACCCTACGGGTGTTGGTCATGTCCCAATTATGATGGCCGATTTTTTAATGTATTTCCTTTCTTTCAGGCTCCAGGGCCAAGGCCCCACTTTACACAGCTCTACTCTTTTTTGCCTCCTACCTGTGGATTTGTACTTTTTTCCTCCAAAATAGCCCTTACTTATGAACTCTCTCAATCTAAAATTTCCATTTCTCTCATTCTTTGCACACTATTTTCAGTGCACAGTTGTACATTTTAGCCCTAAGGGTTATGATTCATGCCAGAAACTGAAAAGTCAAACTGTAATAATAGAACTTGTAAAGTATGACCGGGCAACCTTTCTATGCTATAAAGAGTTGTGTCTTCCGTGCCCACCCTGGGATTTCACGTCACTTGTAAATTGGTGTTCCTAGCCTGATAGGGTCCTATTAAGGCTTTGACACCATTTTTCTGAAAGGCTCCTGCAGGGCTGAGGCTGGGGCTGGTTTACATCCCAGATAAGCCCTGGACGGGCCAATCTCAAGCACATTCTGGGAATTTAGAGGGCTTCTAGATGCAGTCATGCAGTCTGACACTAAGAGGCAGCATGTACCAACAGAAACATCTAGCTAGGCTAAAGCCAAGCGCTAACCAAGTGGAAACCACCTTGTTTCTAAACCCCAGAGCTTAGGAGGTCTGGGTGGCTCAGAGGTTGAGTGTTTGCCTTCAGTTCAGGGTGTGATCCGAGGGTGCAGGATCCAGTCCATGTGGGGCGCCTGCTTCTCCCTCTGCCTGTGTCTCTGCCTCTCTTTATCTCTCTGTCTCTCATGAATAAACAAGTAAAATCTTTAAAATAAACAAACAAACAAACAAACCCCAAGAGCCAAGAATGTAGAGAGTACATTCTCATCTCTCTAATCATATTATAACATTGCAATTTTAAATATCTATTCTATTAAATTTTGCCTGCCGGTTGAATTCTCCAGATAAATTGTGATCGAATTTGATTTAGATACACTGCTGACATACATACTCTGTAAGAGTTACCCATTCGAGTGCGTTTATAACTTCAGCAGCTTAATCTGAAAATATTTACTTACTTATTATTTAAAAAAATTTTTTTTATTTATTTATGATAGTCACAGAGAGAGAGAGAGAGAGAGAGAGAGAGGCAGAGACATAGGCAGAGGGAGAAGCAGGCTCCATGCACCGGGAGCCAAACGTGGGATTCGATCCCGGGTCTCCAGGATCACGCCCTGGGCCAAAGGCAGGCGCTAAACCGCTGCGCCACCCAGGGATCCAATCTGAAAATATTTAATTCCAAATTCAAACTCTATGTTCTTTGAAATGACTGTTGTCTGTTTCTCCCTTTGATGAAACAAAATTTTTTGTGTGAAATAAAGGCAATCACATAATTCTTTAGACAATTAAGCTAGACAAGGCTAAACTCTTGTGGGATCTTATAGTTTCTCCTGGGTCATTGGCTCATTAATCCATCCAGCAGCAAAGATTTCTGAACATTTCCCTCATATCATTGGATCTTATGCTAAATTCTATAGAATGCAAAGACGAAAAAAGATATCAAATCTTCTATCAAGGGACTTATTCAAAGTCTAGAGAGTGGGGAATATATGGGCAGACTAAAAACAAAACAAAACCAAAACTGATTACAGGAACATGTGCTAAATGAAATGATTAAAAAAACGATGAAGACATGCTCCAGTGTACAGAGGTGGGCACCTACAGAGGGTGGGGGGTTGGAAGTTGGGAAAGTGCTGCAAAACTTCCAAGAGGAGATATTTGAACTGAGCTTCAAGGAGTAGATAGAACAAGGATTCCCAGAATGAGCCAAGGAAAGGAAGAGAAAGAGCACAGCACTTTGGTCAGTTTGTAGGCAGAGTCCGACTTTTGAATGCCCGGGGGGAGGGCATTGATTTGCGTTTCCCATAAACTAGTCTGATAGCAGAATGGAAATGGGAATGGAGAACAGAAAGCAGTGAGAGAAGTAAGGAAGCTACCTCTATTTTGGTAGTAGAGACCAAAATTATGAAGCCCAAGGTGGAGAAGAATAGAAAGAAATGGTAGGGTGGTGGTGCAGTAAATGTTAAGTGTTGTAGAAGAAAGAGCACATTTGGAAATGAGGAGACCCAGAGAAGTAGGATCACAAAGCCATAGGGGTTTTCCTGTATGGGAACACCCAACATAAAATAGCTGCCAGTGTTCCCTGCATTCTATCTAGTTAACACAATCCCCCCCAAATAACAAGGAGATGCCTGGGTGGCACCAGTTGGTTAAGCACCCGACCTTGATCTCGGCTCAGGTGTTGATCTTAGAGTCATGAGTTCAAGCCCCGCATCAGGATCCACACTGGGTTTGGAGCCTACTTAAAAAAATAATAAATAACAACCAGATTTGTTCCAAGGACCAAGTTCTTCTGTCATCTTTACACAGGGCCTGGCATAACAGAAATGCCTGATAAATATTTCTTGACTATATGTAGGTACATTCATCCAGTGCAGTAATGTGCAATGTTAGTGAAGAATGGGCTAAATTTATATGCTGATATAAAAAGATTTCTAAAATATATTAAATAAAAAGACAAGGTGTACCGCATGTTGATACTATTGTGTATGTATGTGTGTTTAAGGGCACATATGTAACATGTATCTCACATAAATTGTATACATATGTATTTTTTTCTGGGAGGGTAATAATAGCTGACACATACATAGCATTTACTATGTAGGCACATATTTTAACTCATTTAATGCTTTCTGTTAGGTAGGTACAACTGTTACCTTATTTATACAGATTGGGAAACAGTGTGGTAAGTGACTGGCCTGGGATCACCCCTCTGGTTAGTGGTGCGAGCTTAGGCCAGGGAGTCTGAGCTTCTTGCCATCATGATCCTGCTTCTCACCCAGGAGAGTGTTAATGGAGAGGCACTGGGTGGGAAAAGGTGGAGAAGGAATTTTACTTTTATTTTATACTCTTACATATTGAAAATATTATTTTAGCAATGCATTATTCCTTTAATAAAAAATACTAATTTAAAAATATTTTTGAGAATTGGACTTTAGGTATCTAGTGAGAATATCCCTGGGGACCTGGAGGGAGGCCTCAGTGGAGTGTGTGCGTGGTAAGAGCAATGGGGAATAGGCTGATGGAGGCTCCATCCCAACAGGATTGTTGAAAGGAAATAACAAATAATACTTTTTATATAATCAACTTTCAGTCCTGAGAGACAGGCTGTGTTTAAAAGACAGGGGTGCCTGAGTGGCACAGTTTAGTGCCTCCCAATTCTCCGTTTCTGCCCAGGTTGTGATCTCTGTGTTGTGGGATCAAGGCCCGCCTCTGGCTCCCCACTCAGTGCTACCTGCTTAAGTCTCTCTCCCTCTCCCTTTGCCCCTACCCCCTGTGATCTCTCTCTCTCTCTAAAATAAGTAAATCTTAAAAAAATAAAAGCACAGTGGCCAATGTCTGGCTTTTCTTTTTCTTTTTCTTTGTTCACTTTCTCTCACTTGGAACCCTGCTCCATGTGGTTTCTTGCATACACAGCTGCTCTGGGCTTTTTATCTATTTCAGTTTTTTTGGCTAGATAATACTATAACTGAAAAAGTTAAAATCAGTGGGAAATGTATAAATGAGAAACTTAGCCCAGCCACTCCATACCACCCTCTATCCCCCTAGCTCCTGATAGTTACCACTTCTATTTCTTATGCATCCTTCCGGTGACTCCGTGGGAAAATGCAAGTATATACCCACATATATTTGTGGGATTTTTTTGCTGTTACACAGTTGGGATCACTTTGTTCCTTTCTAACTTGGCATTTGGAGAGCTTTCACACCGCCTCACCTTTTTTAACACTGCACAACCCTTCATTGGATTACTGTAAACTTGTCTGCTCTGTTTTTTCTCTTGACCTTGCTATTGGCCTTGCTAGGAAGCCTGCAGGTTTGAACCAGGGTTTCTTCTTTTCTCTTCTATCCTTAGAGTCTTCCCAGTCATCACCTTCCTAGTACTTGGCTGCGATTTCCACTCATATTCCCACAGTGAGGGTACAGAAGGCTTCCTTGTGGCCTCCCATTGCCTTCTCATCTGATGTGCACAGTGGGTGCCAGCCCTTCCTGAGGGCCCTCTGGGCAGCAGTGCACACCTGTTCCTTCTGATAATTAAAAACAGACATAGAGGCACTTCCACTTGAACCTCTCGTCGCTGGTAATTTTGGTCTTTTGGGAACAGGTGTGCCTGCGTGGAACCCCAGGTATAAATGAGTAGAGTTTTTGACACCTGTTTATTTATTTATTTTATTTATGATAGGCACACAGTGAGAGAGAGAGAGAGGCAGAGACACAGGCAGAGGGAGAAGCAGGCTCCATTACCGGGAGCCCCACATGGGATTCGATCCTGGATCTCCAGGATCGCGCCCCGGGCCAAAGGCAGGCGCCCAACCGCTGCACCACCCAGGGAATCCCCTGACACCTGTTTAAATGAGTAGAGTTTATGACACCTGTTGACAGAGCTGGGTCCTGGCTGAACAGGTACAAAGTTGGGTCTTTTGTTCATTTTCGATTTATTTTTAATCTAGGTTTTATTTTTATTTAAAGTATTATTTTTTAACCTGCGTTTTGGTCCCACTCTGTATTTGGTGTCTGACTGGAACTGCTAGATTTGGAGGGAGTCGGGGTTCGGGAGGAGAGGGCTCCTCTCCAGCCTGCCCTGGATGCGCAGAATGCTTTAACTGGGCTATGGGGTGAACGGGCATCACCTGCGTGTGGGAGAACCCAGGAGGCCAGGTTCTCTTTGGGTGCAGGTGCTGGGGCATCCCCCTCTGCTGATTTTGAACACATGTTTGTTTCCGGCCAGAGCGTGGCGGCCCATCTGTGGGGCGGTGAGTGTGCCATGCCCACCCCCGGCTGGAGATCCCGTGAGCATCATGACTGGGACCTTCCACCAGAACTCCCGCAAGGAAGGGGACAGGTTCAGGCTCTACAGGGAGCACTGAAGACTCTGCCGAAGCGGGAGCCCCCGGAATTCCTTTTGGGGAGAGGCAGCTTTCAGCCCCAGCGGGTCAAGGGTGAGGGTGGGCCAGGTGCACATCCAGGTGCTCCCCCCACCAGGCCCTGCCACAAACAATGCACCTGGTACTGAAATTCAGCAACCAGGGCAAGCAAACGCTGACGACTTTGTGTACGGTTGATCCTTGAACAGCACAGGTTGGGGCTGCGTATGTCTCTTACATGTGCATCTTCTCCGCTGCAGGATGGCAAATGTATTTTCTCTTATGATTTTCTTCATAACGTCTCCTTTTCTCTAGCTTGCATTATTGTTGTTGTTTTTCTTAAGGTTTTATTTATTTATTCATGAGAGACCCACAGACAGAGGCAGAGACACAGGCAGAGGGAGAAGCAGGCTCCATGCAGGGAGCCCGACATGTGTCTCGATCCGGGACCCCGGGGTCACAACCTGGGCCGAAGGCACACACTCTACCACTGAGCCACCTGGGCGTTCCTAGCTTACACTATCGTTAGACTATAGTATATAATACATTATAAGGTACAAAATACATGTTAATCTCTTGTTTGTGTTATCAGTAAGGCTTCCTGTCCACAGCAGGCAGGCTATTAGCAGTTAGGTATTTGGGGGTCAGAACTTTCTGGGGAGTCCCAAGTTATATGCAGATTTTCCTCTGTGTGTGGAGGGGAGTCGGCCCCCCTAACCCCTGTGTCGCTGGAGGCTCGCCTGTACCTAAGCATGTCATTTTCTTCATGTTGCCTGTGGCTGGGGTTTCCAGGGGTTGTAAATGATATGTGGGCTTTCCTCAATGATCAACATCCTGGCGCAGCAGAGATACAGCCAGTTATTCCAGGAGTTATAGTTCTAACTAGTGGCGCTAGTTCTACCTGGAGATTTGTCCACCTGTCTGTAAAATTAGTATTTCGTCTTGGGCCAACAGGGAAGCCTGGGGTACCTGATGCTGCGGTGGCAAGATTTCTAGTGAGTGAATAGTACTTAGCTTTGTCCAACAAGCACAGGCTGACTCCAAGTGATAGAAAGGGTGGATCTGGCCAGTGACCAGCTGGGTACCAGAGAGGACCACATCTCAAAATAGCCAGCAGTTCAATAAATCTCCACGTCAAGGCTTACGGTGGAGTGTTTGGGGGGTTTTCTGTTCTGAGGAAAACCCTTGACTCCAATGTTTGTGCAGCTGCCTCGAATGGACTTTACAGCGCACTATCCGTGCGTGATGTTATTTGTCCAAACCTTGCAGTAAGACTCCAGTATTTGTAATTATGACACTTTCTCTTCTACTTTACCCTCTCTAGGAAAACTTTAAGAAAAAAAAAAAGTTTCTTCTAAGTCATCGCTATGCCCAACGTGGGGTTTGAACTCCCACCTCAGATCAATAGTGACATGCTCTATGGACTGAGCCAGCCCACTGCCCCTGAAGTAAACACTTTTACTTACTTACTTACTTACTTACTTACTTATTTATTTATTTATTTATTTATTTATTTATTTATTTATTTATTTATTTATTTAAAGATTTTATTTATTTATTCATAAGAATGCACAGGGAGGAGAGAGAGAGGCAGAGACAGGCAGAGGGAGAAGCAGGCTCCATGCAGGGAGCCTGACATGGGACTCAATCCAGGGTCTCCAGGGTCACACCCTGGGCTGCAGGCAGCGTTAAATTGCTGAGCCACCTGGGCTGCCCTGGAGCACTTTTAACATGGTAGTTCTTCATAGTACCTTTTTAGTGATTTTAGGAGTCCCTAGGAACCTCTCCCTGCCCCCAAATTTAGTTTGGCTACTGGATTATATAACATTTAGAATAAAAGGTTCAGCAGGTCAAACTTGGCACATTGATTTATTCAAGTGAAAGTTATAATTGTTTTTGGCCAAGTTGATTTTGGTCAATTAAAGTTTACAGCCTTCTAATGGTAGGCCCCTATTGAGAGGGCAATGCGAGTTCCCGAATTCCTGGAGGGAATGAATGATGTTTAGAAATATTTCTCAGCGGATGCCTGGGTGGCTCAGCTGTTGAGCATCTGCCTTCGGCTCAGGTCATGATCCCAGGGTCCCGGGATCGAGTCCCACATTGGGCTCCTTGTGAGGAGCCTGCTTCTCCCTCTGCCTGTGTCTCTGTCTCTCATGAGTAAATAAACAAAATCTTTTAAAAAAAATTTCTCAGCAACCCCCAATCACAGGAGAGGTGAATGCTTCACTGTCCCACCCCCTTTCTGAAGCCCGACCTCTTCTATGGGTCCTTTGCCTTACTTTCCACCCCTAAAATGCAGTCATCTTTATAAGATCTATGCTTTATTAGGTGCCTCTTTTTTTTTTTTTTTTTGAGTGTCAGGTGTTGTGCCAAGAGGCCTGACAGATAAAATAATGTGTGCCCCATGCAATATTAGAGACATAGAGACATACTTAAATTATTCATTTTTCGTCTGAAACTCACATTTAACTGGATGTTGTATATTTTTAATTTACTAAGCCTAGCAACCTGGTGCCAAGCGCTTTTAAAAGTGTTGATGTGGGGCACCTGGGTTGTTCAGTTGGTTCAGTGTCTGCCTTCAGCTTGGGCCCTGATCTCAGGGCCCTGGGATCCAGTCCCATGTCCTCCTCCCTGCTCAGCAGGAAGTCTGCTTCTTCCTTTCCCTCTTCCCTTCCTCCCGCCCCTCCCCCCTGCTCATGCTCCTTGTCTGTCTCTCTCAAATAAATAAAATCTTTTTTTTTTTTTTTTAAGTGTCGATATTGGGATCCCTGGGTGGCGCAGTGGTTTGGCGCCTGCCTTTGGCCCAGGGCACGATCCGGAGACCCGGGATGGAATCCCACGTCGGGTTCCCGGTTCATGGAGCCTGCTTCTCCCTCTGCCTGTGTCTCTGCCTCTCTCTCTCTCTGTGTGACTATCATAAAAAAAAAAAAAAAAAAAAAAAAAAAAAGTATCGATATAACCTCCAGCTTTGTGGGGAGATATTCTTCCATTTTATAAAAGGAAATTCAGAAATGTTAAGTGATTTGCTGAAAGTTCCATCGTTGGTGAAAGGTAGAGCAACCTACTATTTTTGGCTTTAAAGCCTGCTTTCTTCTATATCTTGTGTCCTAGCCCTCGCCCTTTGAAGTTGTGTAAATGCATTTTCAGGATGAGCAGCTCACTTTGATGAGATGCTGTTTGCTCTCAGTGTTTAGGTCTGAGATGGAATTAGATGGCCCTGGGGCAGAAAGCTAGACTCATTTAGAATTGGTGCTTGGTTTAAGTCTACCTGCAAATGGGCTCTTGGAAATTGTCCTTAGATGCTAAAACAAATAAAAACTTGAGCATAAATAAAAGGAAAATGCAATTTCAGTTGTCATGAACCTCCAAGCCTGGGAGTTAGAAATTTTCTTTTTCCTTTTAGAGCCAAAAGGACCCACAATTGGTTGATAAGGTAATGCAGGACCTGGATGCCAATAAGGACAACGAAGTGGATTTTAATGAATTCGTGGTCATGGTGGCAGCTCTGATGGTTGCTTATAATGATTACTTTGTAGAACAACTGAAGAAGAAAGGAAAACAAAAATAATTAGTAAGCTAATCTAAGGGCAGAAATACACATAGTTATTTGCTTCCTGTTTGTCTATAGTCTTCAGACCTATAGTTAGAGTAATACCATTTATAAATGTCATATACATAGAATTAATAGTATTGTTAGGTGATGTGTACCTTAATAAATTGATTTAAATAGTCCAATTCTTATATGCCCTACTTAAAATTTTCCTATATTATTAAGGATGCTATATGTATTTTTTTTAATCTGTCAAAGGGGAAGCACCACAAAATTTAGCTACTTTCAAATGAGACTAAAGCTTAGCAAACTTCTAAGAGACATTTAACACCCTCCAAGTGTATTTGGAACTTTTTATCCTATTAGCAAAATTAAGTGGCTCTTCCACCCTCTTGTGATTCTTCTTCAAATGGAAGAAGTTGTGCAGATCTGTAAGGAGAAAGGCTGATATATAGAAGAAAGTACTGGCTTTGTCAGTGAGACAGGTCAGGAGAGGGGTACACTGGGTATAGGTATTCAAGCCAGGAGAGCTGCAGCCAGCCTGGTGTATCAATATGCCTTCCCTTGCCCCGCGGGTCCCCTAATTCTGAGGCAAGTGTTTTACACCATTTCCCAGTGCTGTCCCTGGGGTTGAGATTCAGTCACCTGCCCTGGGAGGCTGGCCTGATGCCACCCCTTCCATGGACTGCCTCACTGCATAACCCCACTCCGCGTGTCTGCACTCTCAAATGAATGACTTGCATGCAAATCCTTGTTTCACAGTGTGCTTGGGGGAAACCAGACTATGACAGATCTCTTGGAGAATTTTAGAAAGAAAATGGTGTGATTAAATGTATACTTTTTCTTTTTATAAATTTATTACTTTTAAGGTTTTATTTTTACGTAATCTCTACACCCACAGTGGCACTCAAACTCACAACCCAAGATCAAGAGACACTTGCTCTTTTGACTGACGCAGCCATATGCCCCTAGATTTATACTTTTAAACACTTACCTCTGCTACTGTGTAAAGAAAGGGGTATAGAGAGGGCCAGTGTGGAAGAGGGAGATTAGTTAGGAGGCCATTCTTGTGTTCTGAGCAAGAGACAACAGTGTGTCTCAGCCCAGGATTCAAGCAATGGAGATCAATTTGTTTAGTGGGTTGGAGGTAGAAGTGGTAGGACATGCCAGTAAACTGATGAAGAAGTGTCAGAAAAGAGTAGTGCAGGGTAGAGGGTCACTACTATTGCTGGTCTCATATCTATTCTTACTTTCTTCCATATATTAGAAGCCTAATTTTTGCAGGGTAGCAATGTGCCCAGTTAAGAAACTATTTCCCAGCCTCCCTTGCCACTGAGGTTGTAACAGAGTTCTGGACAATGAGACATAAGCAGAAGTCTCCTGGAAATGTCTGGGAATGTTTTGTTATTTCCATATCGGATCTATGCTTTTCACCTTGATTCCTTCCTTTGTCTTCCCATTGGGATGTAGATGCGGGGCTGGGGATGAGGCTGCCAGCTTGCAACCACAAGGATAGCGAAGAAAGAGATAGAAGGAGCTGGGACATGGTTGTCACTGAGGAGGCACTGCATGGCCCGTGGTCTACCTGCCTCTGGTCCTCTCTTTATGTGAAAAGAGAATGACTGCTCTCTGGTTAAGTTGGATTCTGTTACATGCAGCCGAACACAACCTCTAATGTTTAGATTTTTGGTCAAGCAAATTTAGTAAGTGGGAAAGGCTGGGAGAGGAACAACTTTGGGATGGGATGTCCACTTAAAATGCCTATTGGATATTCAAGTAGAGATACTACACGGGCAATTGTAGAGATGACCCAGTCTAGAGCTCAGGGTGAAGAGAGGAATTGGAGAGACAGATGTGGAAGTCATTAACATCTAGATGATATTAAGCCACAGGACTAGAGGGGACCACTTAGGATGAGCTTGTAGATGGGGAAGAAGAAAGGTCTAAAAGCTGTCAGGAGAAAGAGGAGCCAGCAAATCATACAGCAAAGGCATGGCCAGGAGGATAGAAAGTAAACTAGGAGGGTATGGTGCCTCAGAGGCCTAGAGAAAGAGTTCTTGAAGAAGAAAAGAGGGTGAAATCTAAAATTCACTGAGAGAAGGAGTAAGAGGAGAATGGAGAACTGACCATTACATGATCTCTACACCAAGACAGAGATCATCAGAAACGTTAATGACCCAGATGAGAAGGATTTTGCTTTACAAAAATATCCGTCTCCCAGTTTGGCAGACTGTAGATGTTCAGTAAATATTTGTTAAATGAACAAATGAAAGAACCTGCCAATTGTTGGTTTTCTAGGGCTAAGACCTGTCATTTTTTTTCTTCAAATAGAGCAATACTTTTGTGTCTCTTAAGCCAGTTCTGAGCAGACAGGGCAGGGAGAAATTAGAAGAGCATTCAGGAGAAGAAATGTATACTCTTGTCTTTCAAAAAGTTGGGGGAAAATGAGAAGAAAAAGGTGGAACACATATTTCAGAAGTGTTCAGACTTTTTTTTTTTAAAGATTTTTATCTATTAATTAATTAAGTACCCTAGACACAGAGAGAGAGAGAGGCAGAGACACAGGCAGAAGGAGAAGCAGGCTCCCTGCAGGGCGCCTGATGCAGGACTGGATCCCCAACAGATCCCTGGACGTGTGTAGGATCACGCCCTGACACAAAGGCAGACGCTCAACCACTGAGCACCCCCAGGTGTCCCATTTTTTCTTAAAAGATGGCATACTGCTTATGAAAGAGAAAGCCTGAACGTTTCTCAGGGGCTTTGAAATATTTGATTTTAATTTGGCCTGAAGTTTACATATTCTAAAATGAGTCACCAAAACATGAAAAGTAAGTTCAAAATTTTCCTCATGTCCAATTCAGGGAAGGACATCCTCAGCATAGAGAAATAAATGAAAAAACAGTGTTCATTTCATGCTGTTTCTAAAATTCAATCAAAAGGGAGGAAAAGCAATTTTGTGTCAGATTAGATATCAAATGAGTAAAGATTACATGATGCCCCAGAAGCTCTTTCCTAGTGAAGCCGGGGAGGTGGTGGGTTTTCTTTTGTGCGTGTGTTAGGTGTGCACAGTAAATTTGTAGTAAGCAAAACTGATTATTTCTTCTGCCCATAGACACTGGCCTGTGCATTTGCTGCCGTTTTAATCAACTTTAAACAATATTCAAGGGTCATCTCCGCACAAGCACATTCTCCCGTTTAACATTTCCCCCAATGTAGTTATTGCAAGACAAGACTTCCGGGAGACAGTAGCCTAAGCCTGACTGGGGCCCTGCACTGGAGATGTAGCTGGTAATACAAAGAGCTAGAAATAAGACAAGGGGGGCCTTCCAGAGGTAGAACCCTGGAGTTGAGCCTTCCGTAAGGCAAAGAAACAGGAAAGTTAAAGAGAATTTGGGGGGCGGGGGGGCACCTGGGTGGCTCAGTGGATTAAGGGTCTGCCTTCTGCTAGGTCCTGATCCTGGAGTCCCACGATGGAGTCCCCATCAGGCTCCCTGCTCAGCGGGGAGTCAGCCTCTCCCTCTGCCCCTCACCCTGCTCGCACTCTCTTTCTCTCCCTCTTCCTCTGCCTCTCAGATAAATAAAGAAAATCTTCACAAAAAAATAAGGAGAATTTGGGTGAAGTCCAGCAGGTATGAAGCAAGGGAGTTGGGGGGGGGTGGTGTTGGCGGCGGCGGGCAATGCAAGTGGTCTGGCGCCCCCTAGTGTGTAGGGGTGGAAAAGGAGGGGATGGGGCTGGAGAGGTGGACAGAACTCAGGATCCCAAAAGGCCCTGGTGCTACTATGAGATATTTGGAATTTATCCTCAGTGTTATGGGAAACCATTATACAACTTTATGCATCTTTGCTTTTTACTCACAACTGTTTGTCTGTTTCTAAATATTCTCCTAAAATTTTTAAATCGTTAAAGCAGTGATTTTGAACCCTAACTTGACATTACACTTACCTGAGATATTACTAGAAATGTTTATGAATAAGCTCCACCTTCCACAAAGATTCTGATCCTCTTGGTCTGGGGATGGGACCCAGGCATCAGCATTTTTCAAAGAGCATCAGATGAGTCTAAATGCAACCAGGGTTGAAAATCACTGCTTTTATGGTGACTCACTTAAACAATCAGATCGGCATCTGTCTGAGAAGCAGCTGTTGCAATTTTAACGTGAATGTGAATCACCTCGGGATCTGATTTAGCTTTAGTAGGTGTGGGCCAGGGCCTGAAATCCTGCGTTTCTAACAAACTCCCAGGTGATGCTGATGGTGATGATAGAAATGGTGAAGAAGAAAGAGTGGAGGTGTCATTTGGGAAGCAGGCACCTGTAAAATAGTTCTTGCTGGGGCATATTCCCTTTGGAAGAATATAAGACAACACAGATATGAGGTTCAGAGAGGGCCAGGGGGGGGAAACCTGGACAGCATATTCCCGAGGACCCTGGGCGGACCCTGGGCGAGGGGAAGGGAAAGGGTGCTCCAGACTACCTCAGGTCAAAGGTCTTGGGCAAGTCTTTGAACTCCTTTACCCTCATTTTTTTGGCAAGCCTCAGCTAGAGTGGCTCATCTGCATCAGAATTAACTTGGGGGCACTTTGACCTTTGGGATTCTCAGACCCCACCCCAGTCCTGCTGAATCAGGGGGGAGGAGGCGGTAGGGAAATCTGTGCATCCATGATTATTACGATTATTACGTACCCTCCAGTGGCCGACTTAGAGCTCCTATGGATAAAACAAGATAGGCAGGTGCCCAGGCCACGGCTAGTGCTCAGCAAGTGGTAGCATCAACCTGAAAACGGGGGTAATTGCGACAGAGCAGACATCTCTGGTCCAGCCCAGAGTCCACAGCTCTGCCTTCGGCTCAGGCTGTGATCCCGGGGTCATTTTAATATCTTAAAATGTAAGATTTTGTTTTAATTAATTAATTTAAAATATTTTATTTATTTATTCATGAGAGACACAGAGAGAGGCAGAGACACAGGCAGAGGGAGAAGCAGGCTCCACGCAGGGAACCCGACGTGGGACTCGATCCTG